TGGTGTGCTCCCGAGTGGCAGTTCGGGTGACGGGCGCAGCCAGTACCAGCTCCTAACCGGTCCTCGCCGTGGCTCCGTTTGCGGTAAGACCGGTCACTCCCCTGTTCGCTGCTTCCGTCGCCTTGACGACCTGTTTCGTCTTTGCTTCGGCCCGTCACCCGACCTCCCTGACTGGTTCAGCTTGCTTCGCCGTAGTATTCCGATTTTTTATATGGACATGGATGAGCTTAGCTCTGCCCTGTATGTGCTGTATGCTGATGACTCTAGTGTGACTGGTTCTTACTACCCCGTGTTGCCTAGTGTAGGTGTGCCTAGTCGTGTCCCCCCTGCTGCGTTAGGCGTAGGACCTCCTGCCTTGTTTAGCCTAGGTTCCTCCGTCGCTGCTTCGACCTCGGCCGCCACTGCTGCGCTCACCTTCACTCTGGAATCTGGCGCTTCCCGGTGTTTCTTCCGCGACTCCAGTAGGCTGTCCCCGCTTGCTGCTCCTGCTGCGGTTTCCCTTGCTGACCCCTCCTCCGGTCCGGTAGTCGCTCGTAGTTCTACCACCCTTCCTTGCCCGGCGGCTCCTTCTGGCTTGCTAACAGGCTTGCACGTCCCCTCGTTTTCCAGGAACCTAGTTGGTGTTGGCTACCTCCAGGACCTTGGCGTCACCACTACTTTCCCTGGTCACGAGCGGCTTGCTGTCTGTACTGAGGCCGCCACTGGTGCTCCCCTCGCTAGGTTCCCCCGGGACCCGGTGTCTAGCCTGTTCACACTAGACATCGCGCCCCCCCCGGTTCGGACGCCTCCCCAGGTCGCTATGTCATCTTAGATTGCAGCAGCCTGCTCGTGTCGGTCGCTTACTCACCCGACCCTCGTGTGGCACCACCGTCTACGTCAACCTGCGCTCCCGCATCTCCGTCACATGTCACAGCACGGTCTTGTCCTAGGTCTCCAAGGGTCCTTCCCCGCGTTTCCCCCCTCCACAACGCCACCGTGCATGCCTTGCATCGAGGGTCGGCTCCGCCGTGCCCCTCACTCCTCCTCTTTCCCCCCCACCACCGCACCGCTACTGACCTTGCACATGGACGTCTGGGGCCCCGCCCCCGTCCATGGACCGCGTCACGAGCGTTAGTTCCTCGTGCTTGTTGACAACTACACGCGCTACACCACGGTTTTTCCCTTGGAGCGGAAGGCCGACGTGCCTGACGTTCTTATCCCCTAGTTAGTCTCTGCGCGTGTCCACCGTGGTCTCCCTGTCCTGCGTCTTTGCTCTGACCGTGGTGGCAAGTTTGCCTCCGGTGTCCTTGGTCGCTTCTATCGTGTGGAGGGCATCACCCTGACGTTCACCCTGCCGGACTCGGCGCAGCAGAATGGGGTCGCTGAGTGATGCATCGGTTTGGTCATGGAGGTGGCTCATACCTCCATGATCCACGCCGGTTCCCCCCATTTTTTGTGTTCGTTCGCGGTTCGCTACGCTGCTCACCACCTTAACCTGTGGCCGCACTCTCAGCGGCCGCAGGTTTTGCCGACCCTTCGTTGGACCGGGTCTTATGGTGCGCGTCTGCGTTCCACATCTGGGGATGCCTTGCTCACGTTCGTGCCTCTGGCACGGACAAGCTTACTGCCCGCACAACTTCCCTATGTCTTCCTTGGTTTCCCCCTTGACTCGTCCGACTGGAACTTCTACCACCCGACGTCCCACCATTTCTTTCACTCCCGCAACGTTACCTTTGGCGAGTCCGTTTCCTTCTACCACCGCTTTCCACACCGTGGTTCCCTGGTTACCCCCCCCCCTGTTCCTGGTTCCCCCGTCCCTGGTAGCCTTAGTCCTGCCCCGTCCGGTGTGTCTTCCGTCACTCCCCTCCCGTCGGTTGTCCCCGTAGATGAGTCTGCTGACTCTGGTGGTCCTGTGGCCCAGTCCTGCCGCCTGCCTCCCCCCCGGTGTCTCCTCCTCCGCCGCCGCAGCAGCAGTCGTCGCCGCTGCCGCCGCCCGAGCCGTCACTGCCGCATCAGCCGTTTGTCACCTCTTGTGGTGCTGGAGTTGGGAGCGGTACCGGTACTGGCGGGGTTTCTGGCTCTAGGGGTGTTCCCTTTGGGGGTGCAAGAGTGGAGTGTTCCGGCGGTAGCCGTGGAGCTGCTGGTGGTCCTGGAGTCGGTGTTGTGCCGCAGCAGCCGCAGTCCCCGCCGGTGTCAGCCCTTCGCCTGCTCGGCCTAACGTCCCCTCCTCTTCTGGTCTACGGCCCTGTGTTCCCTCCCCCGGACTCGTCCCCAGACCGTCTCCCTCCTCGTTCCCCTCTTGTGTCTCCTCCTCTGTCTCCTGACCCGACACCTCCGTCACACGTCTGGTCTCGCCGTCCCTCCCGTGCTCGCCCTATCTCCCCTGTCTCGCGCTCCCACCCTATGTTGCTTCGTTCCCGCTTGGCTCGTCGCCTCCTCCGTCCTCCCTTGTCGTTGCGCCTCCCCCGCTGTCTGACTTCCTTCGTGCCGCTCGTCCTCTTATTCCTCGGGTCCTTGACTCTCTCGTTACCGTCCCGTCTGTTCCGGTTTCGCGCCTTGACGCTCTTGTCGCTGCGGTCGCTGACTTCGCCTCTACCCGCCGCCTTGACTACGCCACCTCTCTGGTCTCTTACCTTGCCGGTCCTCCGTCTTTCGGGGGTGCTCCTGCCCTCGGCAGTGACGTCCTGGAGGACCGCTAGTACGAGCTTGCTTTCCTGTCCGAGGATGCTCCCCATCTCTGTTCCATGCTTCTAGTCCCTGAGGGTGACCCCAACGCTTTCGACATCCCGACCCCTCACACTTACGCTGAGGCGGTTTTGGGACACTGGGCCTCTCAGTGGATAGCTGCCATGGAGCAGGAGATGGCATCTCGGAGATCCACCGGCACCTACGTCGACGCAGTTCCCCCACCAGGGGTGAACGTAGTCAATGGCCGCTGGCTCTTCAAGGTGAAGCGCCCCCCTTGAGAGCCGCCTGTGTTCAAGGCGCGCTACGTGGCCAGAGGTTTCAATCAGCGTGAGGGGGTGGACTTCTTTCAGACCTTCGCTCCGACCCTGAAGATGACTACACTTCGGGTGCTGCTATACGTAGCAGCTCTGCGTGACTACGAGCTTCACTCCCTCGACTTCTCCACTGCGTTTCTTCAGGGCAGTCTACACGAGCAGGTCTACATGCGCCGCCCTTAGGGCTTCACTGGTACCTACCCTCCTGGGACCCACTGGCTCCTTCGGCGCCCCGTCTGCGGCCTGCGGCATGCTCCCCGTGAGTGGCACGACACGCTGCATGCTACCCTTGCTGACCTGCAGTTCTTTCCGTCCTCTGCAGACCCCTCGCTCTTCGTCCGTGCTGGCCAGACTCCGTTCTACATCCTTGTTTACGTAGACGACCTGGACTTCGCCACTGCAGACAAGGACGCACTAGCCTCGATGAAGGCAGAGCTGCTGAAGAGACACACTTGCACAGACCTTGGAGAACTGCGCCACTACCTTGGCTTTCAAATCTCTAGGGACAGAGCAGCATGCACCATCACCTTGACTCAGTCACACTTGGTGCGCCAGGTCCTTTAGAGGTTCGGCCTTCAGTTCTCCTCCGCACAGCCCACTCCTCAGCCTCTAGACCACAGGCTCTCCGCTCCAGTTCCTGAGGAGTCAGTAGAGCCCAGTGGTCCTTACGCAGAGCTGGTGGGTTTCCTCATGTACCTGATGACTTGCACTCGCCTAGATCTCGCATACCCTCTCAGCATTCTGGCTCGCTTTGTGGCCACAGGCAGACACCGACCCCAGCACAGGTCTGCCGCTAAGAGGGTTTTGCGTTATCTTGCAAGTACATCGGGCATGGGGTTAGTGCTAGGAGGACGCAGGCCAGTGGTCCTTACTGGACACACAAACGCTTCTTGGGCAGACGACGCTGAGACCCTCAGGTCCTCGCAGGGCTACTGCTTTAGCCTTGGTTCAGGTGCCGTCTCATGGAGAGCTACCCGCTCCTCGTCTATTGCACAGTCCAGCTGTGAGGCCGAGATCTACGCCGGTACCATGGCGGCATAGGAGTTCCGCTGGCTGACCTTCCTGCTCACTGACTTAGGTGAGCGGCCTAGCTCTGCCCCGGTCCTGTACGCTGACAACAGGGCCATGATCCTCTTGTGTCAGGAGCCTCGACTCGAGGGCAGAGCGAAGCACATCCAGCTGCGGTACTTCCTCCTGCGTGAGCTACAGCAGCGTCGCCACGCTCGCGTAGCACACTTGGCCTCCGGTTCCAACACAGCTGATATCTTTACGAAGGCGCTTGCGCCTATAGATCATCAGCGGCACTGTTTACAGCTAGGTCTCGTTCCTGTAGTCTCTGACTTGGTAGTGCCTTGACTTTGTGCTGTCCTTTATATATGTTTTACCTTGACTGGCCTTGTGGCCTCTCCCAGTGGCTGGACTAGTAGTGCCGCCCTGGTCTTGCTCTTGCCTTGTCTGTACTCCTTTTGACTGGTCTTTATAGACCCTTATCTCAGAGGCTGGACTAGTAGTACCGCCCTGAGCTGCTTCTTCCCTTGTTAGGCACTGCTCCTATATAGTCTAGGGGGTGTGTCAAACATAACTTATGTTGTTTCTGTAGACTAGACAAGTTTGTGCCTTAGAGGGTACAGCACACTACCGTAAAAGCCCGGATAGAAGACCCCCTAGTAATAGAAGACCCAGGGTCTTCAATTTGGCGTCTATCTTGTATTCGGACTTCCCGTTTATAAGACACCCAAGTGGCGGTATGAGATAAGACCCCCCTCCTACATGATGAGATGTTTGTTTTGTAGACAGAAACCATAGTTTTGCATGCATTCGATAACCAGGATAAAAGGCTACTCATTTTTCATTTTCTAGAAGTCCTCGAATGTCTCCATCGTACTAAAAACACAGCCTGTCTCTTCCTCAACTGCCTCAGCAAGGGGAGCCTTGGTGAAATCACGCACCCCCTAGGCATGCCTCGCCGTGCTCTCAGACTCTGTCAGCTTCTCAGCATCTCCTGCAGCGCCACGGCACTTCTCTGTCTTAGGGTAAGGATTCTCCTGATCAGCTGCCACCGCCTCCTCCTCCTCCTCCTCCCCCCGCTCCTCCTCCTCTCTCTCCTCTTCCCCACCCAAGCCGTCGCCTGCCTCCTCTCCCTCCTCCTCCTCCCCCGCCCCCTCCCCCTCCTCCGCCTGCTCCTGCTCCTCCACAAAGCCTGTGTTGTCCCCACTCGTCCCTTGCAGGGACATGTCTTCAGAGACATTCAGAGGCGGCTCTCCGCGCATGTGCTGCAGAATGAGGTAATTGTCCGTGCCGTCCAGTGAGCTTGAAGACGCGGACGATAACGTGGCGCGGCACCTCATCCCAAGCTTTGTCGATCCTTTTCAGGACGACTGGATGGAGCGGGCGGCGCAGGTTTCCTGATGGGTTTTGGGAGTAAAAGGGGCACACACAGGGATATGAACGAGTGCATGAAGCACGCGCAGGTTGTGAATTCAGACTTGCGGCCTTACCTTTTGCCGTCCGCAGGTTGATGCCATGCTGCGCAAACCACTTTGCGTAGCGTGCCCTCACACCTGCCTTGAAACACCTGTTAACATAAACATCCAGGGGTTGGATTAGTGGGGTGCATCCTGCTGGAATTATGGCAGGTACGATGCTGTGCGTCATGTAGGCGTGCTTCATCCCGGCAGTCAAATGACCACAGTATGAATCCAACACCAGCATGGCGCGTCTAGCTGGGGCCCCTCGCTTCGGGTTGAGGAAGGGTAGAACCTCCTTCTCCAGCCACTTCCTGACGGCTGTCTCATCCATCCAGCCGTTCTCTTGGGCCTGCATCTCGACTCCTGCCAGACAAACACAGTCGCACCTCTTAAGCATTAGACATCCGTGTAATACATATGCTTTGCTGTTTAGCCAAACATGCACAGATAATCAAGCTCATCATTCTGTGCCCAAGCCAAAGTGAATGCATACCAGCTGGACATTCGCACTTGGGTATGGTCTTGCACTTGAACCATACCCAAGGCCGTAGCTTGTCCCCATTTTCTTAGCAGGCCATTATCATGGTGAGCCTCTGCTTCTTGTATCCCGCCGTCTTCACGGGCACCGAGCGGGTTCCCTTGTGGTCGAGCGTCCGTTCCGCCGGCATCTCCACAAAAAGTGGAGTTTGGTCGGCGTTAATGATGTGCCGCATCTCCAAGTTATGGCGTGCTCGATTGATTCGTACGAACTTCCAAAACCCCTCGCAGTCTGCCGCACACTCTGTTTTTGGGGTGGAGAGAGGAATGATGGGAGGTTGTAGAGAGAGAGAGAGTTAGGGAGCATGAGGAGGAGAGATTATAGTGTAGAGGGAGCAGAGGGGGAGCATGAGGAGGAGAGATCATAGAGGGAGCAGAGGGGGAGCGCTAAAAATGAGGGTGGGGGGGGGGGATCGAGGTCATTTGGAAGCTTACCCGGTGATAGCTTTTGCCCAACCTTCGTTCGACAGCGCAGCGTGAATCCCCACCGCTTCCGAAATCGTTGGCTCCAGCGATTCGACCCCTGCCACTTGCTCCGTGGGTCATGCTTGCGCATGTACTTCCGACTCCACTCCCGAATGTCGTTCACACTGACCGCCAGCCCCAAGGCCCGGTGCTCGCAGATGTACTTGGCGAGTGCCTCTTCCATCTCGGGTTGATGCGCATGTCGCCCTGCACCATGGAGCCGCTTCCTGCATTTTGCCGCTCCATTGTACCTCCCTTTCTCCGAAGCCTCCACCCACCGCTGAATTGAACACTGCCCCACGCCCGCCTCCAAGGCAGTCCTCTTCAACGACTTCAACTCGTAGTAGCACTTCGCCCACCGAGCTTTCTCGCCCACCGTGAAGCTTCGCCTCTCCTTCTTATTGAATCTACTACGCGGCAAGGGAGGTTGGGCGTCCGGGTTCTTGGACTTCGGATCCTTGGGCCTCTTGCCTTCTGGAAAGACCGGGATCGGGCCCGCAGCCTCCGTGTATGCATCATCAGAATTCTCTTCCTCTGGCTCGTTGTCGATCGGAGTAGTGGCTGTCTGTTTCGTAGTCTTCCGTGATGCGTTGCTGGCAGGTCTCTTCCGTTTGGGGCTCTCACGCGCATCTTGGGCCTTCCGCTTCCCTTTCTCTGCTCTCGTGTATCGCCGGCGCTTAGACGACGATTGACAACTTGCCGCCTTCCGCTTCGTTCCGCCAGACTCGTCGTCACTCGTCACCACCCGCTGCCGCGTGCCATTCACCTTGAACAGTACTCGACGCTTGAAGATCGGCATGTCCTCGTCGGACATGCCGCCCGTCTCTTCGGCCGAGTCATCATCCGCCTCCTCGCGCACGTCATACTCAGCATCGTCCTCTGCCTCACTGCCTCCCACACCGCAGCCGTCCTCGAAGCCCGCATCGTCACCCACTCCGCAGCCTTCCTCGAACCCCTCATCGTCACCCACTCCGCCACCCCACTCGTCGCCCGCATCATCACCATTCCTCTACCTCATCGTCAGAGCCGATGGGCTTCGCCCACCATTCCTCGTCTTCGTCTCCTTGAGCACAGGCCGATCCATCCGCCTCTTCGTCAGCATCCTCCTCCTCCTCGTTCGATGCCATGAGGGGAGGTTCACGTCGCTGCGCACCACTGGAAGATTTTTCCTTCACAGGCTGCACAAGGCCGTTGATGGTGTCGCCAGGGGAATTTACGCGCCCAAAAATGTTCACGTACACACGGGGAGCTGTACTTCCGCCTGCTCGGCGCTTGGCGCCACGAGATTCCCTCCATGGTGGCGGGTGCTTGCTACGCATCACGGAAAGCCGCAGTGCTAGCCTAGGGGGAGGGACGAAAATGCAATTTTCGAAATTGAAGAGAGGCAAATGAGTGGAGGGGTTTACCCCAGTCTGTTCCCACAAGCAACTAAGGGGTGAAAGATTCCTCGTAGAGGAATCTGTATTCGAAGAGGAGATTCTTCAGATGCAGTTCGTCGTTGACAACGCACCAGATAACGGTTGGGATGACTGGTGAGCAATTGAGGCAGGCACCTATGGCTGTTGGATGGCAAGATGCCTTCTACTGTACAGTACCGCACATGCCACTCCTAGTGGCAACATGTGACGCAACATTCAGATGGGCTTGATGCCAGCGCACGATGTTGGCACTCGTAGTAGCAACATGTGACGTAGCATTCAGGTGGGCCTGATTCCAGCACAGCCGCATCACTCATGAGCTGCATCACGTGTGTGCTCTGGCATTATCGCCCCTCTCGCAAAATATCACCCCCTTTGTGGCATCCTCTTTATGAAAACAATATGAAGGAATCCGGTGTTACTACTTGCGAGTTTTTCTGATGAAGTTATGTAAGTTCCATTTACAAGACACCCCAACACCCTACTTTTTTCCGTTTATAAGACACGCTGCCTTTTTTTTAGGCGGTATGTGATAAGACCCATGAGTCTTATATCCGGGCTTTTACGGTAGTCTATAATGCCCTGTATCTTCCTAGTCTAGTCATTCTCTCTTTCTAACACCCAATACAACGCTGGACAAACATGCCTCACTACACTAGTCACGCTGATCGATCAGAGTTCACTTCTAAAAGAACGCTGAAATTTCAGGCCCGTGTTAAAAGAAAACCCTGTCTCATCAGGGTCACCCCCGAAGAAAACCCTGATATAACCCTGAATCAGGGTAAAAAGCCTGCAATCTGAGGCCCTCCCATGAGTCAATTTATGTCAAACGTTGGTTAAAACATCTCTGCAATGCGAGTCACTCGCTCTTCCAGCATGTCCTCTGACAGCATGCCGCCCCGCCCTGTGGCTGCGCCCTCAATGAGCTGCGCTGCCCTCTCCCCCACCACGTCCTCCAGGTCATGCACGGCGTCCCTCAGCCACCTGCCCGCCACCTCCACCGTGCTGCCACCTCCCCCCCCCGCCGCCAGGTCCTTGAGCTGCGCCAGGAACAGTGCCAGGAACTCCACCGCCTTGGCTCTGCCGGGGGGGGCGGCACAAGGGACGCCTGTCACACACCAACTCACGTGCCCCTCTCACCTCCCCAACCTCTCTTGGATGCTTTGCTGTGTGCTCGCTGAGTGCACTGCGTGTTGGTATTCTATGCATGCGACATGTGTTCTGTGCTATGCACAAGTGCCATCACTACATAAACGCAAGACCATCTGGAAGACATAACCGAATGCAGTGAGTGCGGGCCCTTAAATAAATAGCACGTGCAATGGGATGCAACAGATTAAGTCGTGCAATCGGGGGGTCCATAAGATTGATCGGCAAGGCGTACTATTCCAATCCAACAGCTGGATGTGGAAATGCTCACGGGAGAGTACTGCAGTTGATGGAGGGAAAACACTCATGACAGGCACAACCACAATCAGGCATCAACTGAGAATGGCATACTCGGAGGACGGCAGTACCTGAGGTAGAGTGGTATTTGGCGGTCCTTGACAATGGGCGCCACATGCAGCACGCCCTTGTGCACGTCCATGCTCTGAGGGCACACACACAGGGGCGCGTGCAGCGCAGGAGAAGGCCGGCGGTGAAGCACCAAGGCATTGTGGCCAACAAAAAAAGGAGCGAGAGGAAAAGGCCAGACGCACACCTGACAGTCAGCAGGACACCTAAAGCCTGAATTACATTGACACGTGTGTGCGCACGTGCGCACGTGTGTATGTGTGCATGTGCGCGCATGTGTGAATGTGTGTGTGTGTGTATGCGTGCGTGTGTGTGCGCGCGTGTGTGCGTGTGTGTGTGTGTGTGTGTGCGTGTGTGTGCGTGTGTGTGTGTGTGTGTGCGTGCGTGTGCGTGTGTGTGTGTGCGTGTGTGTGTGCGTGTGTGTGTGTGCGTGTGTGTGTGTGTGCGTGTGTGTGTGTGTGTGTGTGTGCGTGTGTGTGTGTGTGTGCGTGTGTGTGTGCGTGTGTGTGTGTGTGTGCATGTGCGTGTGTGTGTGTGTGTGTGTGTGTCTGTGTGTCTGTGTTACTGACAGTGCACATGGGCGTTTCAACAGTGGGTCATCGACCATGACAAAACAGGCCATCAAGACGGGCACCATGAGATCAGTGCGACGGCCAACATCTTACGGTGCACTGCAGTAGCCTGCTGGAAAGAGCGTCCTACAGCCTTCAGAGTGCCTGCGGGCTGACCTCTAGTGCCCGCGGGGTGGCGAGGAGGATGGCGGGCAGCGCGTTGAGGCAGCACGCCATGAGCGACGCAGGGGGGTCGCCCAGAGGCGTGGATGACATGGGCGACAGGTGGATCAGAATGTCCTGCGCACAGGGGGGCAGCAGGGGGGCAGCAGGGGGGGTGGGGGGGGGGGGTGAGGTGGAGGTTGAAAAAAGGAAGAGGAAGCGAGCAGGAAAGGCGATGATGAGGTCTGCATAGGAGGCAGGCGACTGAATGAGAGGATGCAGATCCGAAGATCCTAAAGAGCATTTACCCCACGTTCAACCGGACGCACCTTGATGACATGGTAGGAGGCAGCGAGCTGGCGGCTGGTGGCGGGGTCGAGCAGGCAGCACCCCTCCAGCACGTGCAGCGCCACCTCCACCTCCTCCGCTGTCGGCGCCATGGCCCGCCCGCACTGCCCCGCCCGACCCCCCTCGTCATCGTCGTCATCGTCCTCGTCGTCAGCGGTGCTGGGCCCTATGCTGTGCTCGCAGATGGCCGGCACCACTGCACGCACATGCGGCACACGGGATGAGTGTGGAAGACGGCGAGAGCGTGGTGGGAGATAAGGGGGAGACTGAGCAGACAGATGTGTGAGCGAGCTCAACAGCCTGCTGCTCCTGCTCCTCTCGCAAACCGCACTGCCTTGGAAATGCTTCCAAAGAGGCACTCCCTTTCCTTTTCTCTCTAGCTCGTGCTGCCCGAAGTGGCCTCACACAGCCACTGGCGTACAACACTACTTGGGAGCGCCATGCCTTGTGCACTCCACAAGTCCCCCTCCCCTCTCACAATCCCATCCCCCTTTTCTCCCCTCCATTTGTGCTGCTTGTTAATTTCCCCACCCTCTCCCCCCATCTCTCCCCCCCACCCCCCCCCCCCCCCCCCTCCTCACGCTGCAGTTCGCTGTACAGTTGGCTCTCCCGGAAGACGTCCGCCAGCTCGTCCGACTCCGCCGCCGACTCCACCACCAGCCCCACCTTGCGCAGCCCGCGCAGCCGCACGTAGCTGAACTCCGCGCGCACGTCGCGCAGCCCCGCGCGCAACTGCAGCCCCACCTCGCGCGACCGCCGCTGCAGCGACAGCGACGCAAGCAGGGCGGCCATGGAGCGCGCGGGGGGCGAGGCGGGGGAGAAGGGCGCGGAGCCGCCGTCCTCCCAGGGGGCGGGGGGCAGGTTGAGCATGGCGGGCTGGCGGAAGCGCGCGGCGAAGAGCGTGGGGGGTGCGGTCGACCAAAGCGCAAATTATGACGAGGAAATATACTGAAACGTCACGGGCTCCCGATTCGTACTCGTTATTGCGTGCTGCACTGTAAAAAGTTACGTGAACGTGGAAGCTGAAGTAGCGGGATACGCAGCCTCCGCGAGTGGCAGGGAAGTACGCCCTCGTGCGTCATATGACAGAGCTACACGAAGGCAGCAGGTGTAACAAGGGGCAGCGCCAGTGTTATGAATGAACAAGCAGAGTAACGAGGAAATGAATAAAGAAGTGTTCAATCAGTGAATGACGATACAAGGTATGGCAAGCAGTGCTGATCTTTGGATTTTCGCTACTCTGAATTCTGGTAGTGATTTTTATCGGAACTCTGAAAATCAGAGTGACCTCAAACATTTTCCCTGAATGGTCAGAGTAACCCAGTATTTCTAAAAAAATTACTCTGTCAAGTATGTTCTCTTGTAGACGCCCGCAAATGCATGGGTCATGTCACGTGTCTAATTGCCTAATTCATACATGATCACACGCCATTTTGAGGGAGCTAGGGCCAGCATGGGCCATGTGAAAGAAGGGTGCGGGGCACGAAGGGGTTGATTGGTGGTGCATCACAATTGCGCAACCGGGGAGAACTGGGGAATGGTTCGGAAACGAAATTGAAAGGCGCGGGGAGTGCCTATCAAGTTTGCACACGCTGGTTGGCGGGGGGAAACCAGTGCCATCCACAAAAAACCCCCTCTTCCCCACACCCCAGGCCCTCAGATTCGTTTCAGGCCACACTGAATTTTCAGGGTCGGTACACAAAGGCACCTTGAAAACTGTTGGAAATATCTCAAAGGACTTAAGCGTTTCTGAAGTATAACACTGTACTCGAGGAAGATTACAGGGGAGCACGCGAGTCAACGGAGGTTGCACGAGGGGGCAGACAAAGAAAGCGAAAAGACTCGAAAGGTCGCAACTGGAGGTTACGACTGACCGTTACAACATCACGGATGGTAACCGAAGCGGCAATCGAGTCGCACAGCGACTCGATAAACCGTTCCTGTAACTGTATTCTACAACTGCTTTCTTATCTTTTATATATTGCTGTATGTTTGTTTCTTTAATCAATCACTTGTTCTCATATACTAGTACAAGGGTTCAACTACCTCAACTTCCGCTGCACTACTCAAGCCTCATTCTACGACTGGGACTTAGTCTCTGAAAAGATCCTAAGGGCTTTTTCTCAGCCCAATATGGTATGAGAGCTGGTCAGAGACCAAAACTCCCAGCAACTGCGCTCCATCAACCTGCAACTCAACTCAATTCAACGACTTCATTGATCACAAGACATGGACAGCAAGGGCAAGAAAGTCTCTACGGGCTCACCCAACGGCCAAGAAACTCAACACGGCAACTCTGGTCTGCACACCTCAGGACTGCAGACAGAGACCGGGACTGCTCAAGAAACGACGGGAAGAGTACGAGAGATGGTAACTCCATCTCCCTCTTCAAGCGTGGAGCAGACCTTATGGAAAGGTTCTTCAGCTTCATGTCGCACTTCGACCAGCAGCAGCAGACAAGGACACCTGCGCACCCGGCTCACCACCCACTTACGCGCCAGACGAAGAAGAGCTCCCGCCACCGCGCTCACAAGGCCTTCAAGTCAATCCAACATATGCTGCGGTCGCCAACGCCGAACCCACCGGGCGAAACACCTGGTTCTTGGACAGCTGCTGCGGGCAACACATGTGCTCTTCGGGACGATTCGTGCAACAGGAGAAACGCCTCAACCGCGACGTCGTCATCACCGTCGCCAACAACGAAAATCTGAAGACAAACAGACAAGGCGTGGTTCAGTTACAATCCATGGAGACAAACGTCATACTTCAGCTCAACAAAGTCCTCATTGTCGACAACCTGGGATACAACCTACTAAGCGTAAGCCAACTAATGGCCAAGGGGATTCACCTGGAGTGCGACTCCTACTCCAACGAGTTTCGGCTATACCACGGGAAGGGTGGCCTCTTCATCGGTCGTGCCCTCCTGAAATCCGGCGTCTTCGTGTTGGACTTCGTCCCCGACCGCGGTACTGCCGACAGCGACGGCATCGTATCATTCGCCGCCTGGACACACCCGCCGGATCTTGATCCAGAATTCGACAGTGACGGCTTCTGGCACTCCAACACCATACCTGAAGCAGAAAGAACACGAGCATTAGCAGTCATCAGACAAGAAAGACAAGTACCCGCGAGTATCCCAACCAAACCATCACCTGCAGTAGCAGCAGCAGGACCCAGCCGAGTCCCACCACCGGCGATCCGAGGACCGCCAACCGAAGCAGACCAACTTATGCCCATCACACGAGAAGTTTGTCGAAGTCCCGCCACAGTCGTCGCGTTCTTCTCCAACGCCGACATATACCACCGCTCGCCGGGTCATCGCGCTTCCGACGACATCTGGCACCAACGCCTCGGGCATCCTGCAAACAGCACGATACTACAAACAATCCAAGCAGAGGTGTTAGAACGCAACGCCCTCCTAACGACAAGCGGCCAAGAACTTCGAAGACCACAAGCACGGTGCTTCACGTGCCCCGAAGCAGATCTTCCCCATCAGCCTTTTCCATCTCATCACAACCAAAGCGCACCTACCTACGCTCCGATGGAAAAAGTCTACAGCGATATTTTAAACATGCCTCGAGAAGACACCGAAGCCGACTTCAACTACGTCATCACGTTCATCGACGCAGCAACCAGATACGTCTGGCACTTCAATCTCAAGACGCCCGATCAAGCTTTCGACGCCTTCACAACATGGCTTCCCATCGCCGAACGAGAATCAGGAACCAAGCTCAAGAGCTTCCAGTCAGACGGTGCACTGGAATACCAGTCACAACGCTTCAGGACCTATCTGGCGGAAAGAGGAATCAGACGCCTGGTGTGCCCTATGCACACCAGCAGCAGGGGGTCGCAGAACGCATGAACCGGACCTTGCAGACGACGATGCGAAAACTGCTTATGGGGATGAGGCTGCCAACCACACTGTGGCCAGACGCGATAACACATGCAGTTCACCTGCACAACCTGCTGTCCTCGTCATCGCTTCCCAACAACGCATCACCGCACCTGTTGTGGACAAGAAAAAGGGGCAGCACAAAATTACTCCGAGTTTTCGGCTGCATGGTACAGTACAGACCCCACACAGCCCGAGCAGGACGCTTCACACAACGAGCTCGGTGGGGACTACACCTCGGCATCGCCAAACATTTTCACGCATGGAAAATTCTCGACATACAAGACAAAAATACCGTCGCATCACGTGATGTTATCTTCTACGAGCGACTGACGCTGCAGCATTACCTGGACAACATTGCCAACACACAAGACCCCACCGACGGCTTCTCCGGACTTCGTTCCTTCGCCGACCGTGCTGCCGAAGCTGACGCGGCAGAAGAAGACGTACCTGAAGCCTCGGAAGCTGCCGGACCACTCCCATTCTGTTCCGTACCTGTTCCATTCGACGAAGACAATCCTCTCGATAGCAACAACCTCGACACCTTTTACCACTTCGCTGACCAAGGTTACATTACACCCCACCCAGTCGACACAAATGTTTCAGAACGCATCGGTCCCAACTTCTTACCTGACCCAGAAGACGGTGACGAAGCAGCTTATTCCGGGAATGAAAATTCCCCTCGACACATACCCACAGGACTGCAGATTCTAGGCCTCTGGGTCTCCGTCCAGCATCCGCCGCCGCCTTCTCCGCAAGAGCCTTCGACCCTGTCGCAGGCTCTGGGGGGGGAATATAAGGCGAAATGGAAGGAAGCGATGGAAAAGGAGTTAAAGGCTCTGCAAGACCGGAAAACATGGAAACTGGTACCTGCAACAAGCATCAACGGAAAAAACGTCCTCTCGGGGAAATGGGTGTACCGCATTAAGACCAACTCAGACGGCTCCATCGAACGATTCAAAGCTCGATGGGTCGTACGAGGCTTCGATCAACGATACGGGACCGACTACACAGAAACCTTCGCTCCAGTCTCCCGTCACACCTCATTACGCATCCTACTCGCCGTCGCGGCCACGAAGACATTACCACTACGCCAAATCGACGTCGTGAATGCATTCCTATACGCACCTGTGGACGCCGAGATTTTCGTCGAACAACCCCACGGATTCATCGACGACCCCACGAAAGTATGCCAACTGATAAAATCCCTATACGGGATCAAGCAAGCCCCGCGGCTCTGGCAGCAGCATCTCCACGGCCGTCTCGCAAAAATCGGATTCCTACAGCTGCCGCATGACCAAGGAATGTACCGACTGCAGAAGGGAAGAGAGTATATCCTACTCATCGTCTACGTCGACGACCTGCTCTACATCGGCTCCACTACCGATATCGCCACCTGGTTCGAACGGGAGCTGAAAGAAGACTTAACACTCACGGTGTCCGACGAAGTGACCCAGTACCTAGGACTAAATGTCGACGAAAACGACACGGCGTTCTATCTACATGCTGGAAAGTACTCAGGCACCGTCGCGAAGAAATTCGGTCTAACACCGACTACTGTCCCAACCCCCTACCACTACGGGAACAACAACAGCACCTCCGCAAATCTCCCCGCGAAGCAAATCCAGGAGTATCAACAGAAGCTCGGCTGCCTACTATTCGCAGCAGTAACCTGCCGACCCGACCTGTCCTATAGTGCGAGTCAACTGGCGACGCATCTGAAGCAACCGGAACAGGAAGATCTTGAGGAGCTCAACCGGGCACTACTCTACTTCGTCACCACGCCGACGATTGGGCTTACCTACAGCAAAGCGACAACACCGTCCGTACGACTACTCGGATACGTTGACGCCGACCACGCGGGAGATAGGGAAAATCGACGATCAAGGACGGGCTATATCTACCGACTAGAACCCATCGGAACTATCTCCTGGCAGTCGAGCAAGCAGGAGTTAATCGCACTATCCTCGGCTGAAGCAGAGTATATCGCCCTTTGTACTGCGACCAAGGAAGGACTCTACCTGCGGGAGTTACTCGAGGAAGCGAAGATCGCGACCCTGCCCGCCTTCTCACTCCTCTGCGACAACCAATCTGCGATCAAAATCGCGAACAAGGACGGCTTCGCCAACCGAACCAAGCACATCGCCCTGCGGTACTTCTTCGTCAAGGATGAAATCGCGAAGGGAAGACTTCAACTCAGTTACTGCCCGACGACAGAAATGGCCGCAGATTATCTGACGAAGAAATTGGCGAAAGCAAAATTCGACTACTGCATGCTCCTGACCGGGCAAACAAACGTCACCGGATCTGAACACGCCAGCACTCCAGAAACGAAGGGGAGTGTTGGAAATATCTCAAAGGACTTAAGCGTTTCTGAAGTATAACACTGTACTCGAGGAAGATTACAGGGGAGCACGCGAGTCAACGGAGGTTGCACGAGGGGGCAGACAAAGAAAGCGAAAAGACTCGAAAGGTCGCAACTGGAGGTTACGACTGACCGTTACAACATCACGGATGGTAACCGAAGCGGCAATCGAGTCGCACAGCGACTCGATAAACCGTTCCTGTAACTGTATTCTACAACTGCTTTCTTATCTTCTATATATTGCTGTATGCTTGTTTCTTTAATCAATCACTTTTTCTCATATACTAGTACAAGGGTTCAACTACCTCAACTTCCGCTGCACTACTCAAGCCTCATTCTACGACTGGGACTTAGTCTCTGAAAAGATCCTAAGGGCTTTTTCTCAGCCCAATAAAAACATCCTCAAAATCAGGGTTGGTACTGCTTTTTTAACTAAACACCGGTTTTCCAGATTCCAGCGCTGATTTTTCAGGGTAGGTACAGAAAAACACCCTGGAAATCAGCAAAATCAGCAAAAAAAAAACCTGAAATCTGAGGGCCACAATCCACGCGCAGCCACCATGCAAGAGCACACATCTCGTGGAGTTTGGACCAATCGGCGCCCTCATACAAACTGCGCCATACATCACGTGGTGAATCTGGCTAAGGGCCAATTGGGGCCCTCACACAGCATCCAACACACTTTGCGTTGTGAGGGCGCTTTTAGGCCCTTAGTCAGATTGTACACATTGGACGGTGATTTCAGTTGGACCAAATTTCACCCTCACACACGCTCCAGCAGCATGCATCGAGAGCTGATTTTGGCTAAGGGCCAATCAGCGCCCTTATACAACAGCCCAATTAGCTTCGGTTTCAGTCCGTTATACTCGGCATGGATTCGGTGTCAACTTATACATATTATCTATGTAGAAGTTATAGGCTAGACTGAGGTATGCTTCTAGTGAGTACAACCAACTAGTATTTGTTCTAGGTTTCCACTTCTAGTAATCATTCGTTCTCACTTTAACATGGTATCACGCATAGGTTAGCATCCCCCACCTACCGCTTCCGCCCGTACCCTAGCTAGGCCACGTCGCGCCTCCTAGCCCTGTCGCGCCTCCTAGCCACGTCGCCCCCCTCCTGGGCCACGTCGCGCCACCCTAGCCCCGTCGCGCCACCCTAGCCCTGTCGCGCCCCTCCTGGGCCCCGTCGCGCCTCCTAGCCCCGTCACGCCCCTCCTGGGCCCCGTCGCGCCACCCTAGCCCCGTCGCGCCACCCTAGCCCCGTCGCGCCCTGCCTAGCCTCGTCGCGCCCTGCCTGGCCCCGTCGCGCCCGCCTGGCCCCGTCGCGCCCTGCCTGGCCCCGTCGCGCCCTGCCTGGCTCCGTCGCGCCCTGCCTGGCCCCTTCGCGCCCGCTCGGCCCCGTCGCGCCCTGCCTGGCTCCGTCGCGCCTGCCTGGCCCCGTCGCGCCTTGCCTAGCCCCGTCGCGCCCTGCCTGGCCCCGTCGCGCCTGCCTGGCCCCGCCGCGCCTCCCTGGCCCTGCCGCGCCTGCCTGGCCCCGCCGCGCCTGCCTGGCCCCGCTGCACCTGCCTGGCCCTGACGCGCCTGCCTGGCCCCGTCGCGCCCTGACTGGCTCCGTCGCGCCCGCCTGGCCCCGTCGCGCCCTGCCTGGCCCCGTCGCGCCCTGCCTGGCTCCGTCGCGCCCTAACTGGCCCCGTCGCGCCCGCTCGGCCCCGTCGCGCCCTGCCTGGCTCCGTCGCGCCCGCCTGGCCCCGTCGCGCCCTGCCTAGCCCCGTCGCGCCCTGCCTGGCCCCGTCGCGCCTGCCTGGCCCCGCCGCGCCTCCCTGGCCCTGCCGCGTCTGCCTGGCCCCGCCGCGCCTCCCTGGCCCCGCTGCACCTGCCTGGCCCTGACGCGCCTGCCTGGCCCCGTCGCGCCCTGACTGGCTTCGTCGCGCCCGCCTGGCCCCGTCGCGCCCTGCCTGGCCCTGTCGCGCCCTGCCTGGCTCCGTCGCGCCCTGCCTGGCCCCGTCGCGCCCGCTCGGCCCCGTCGCGCCCTGCCTGGCTCCGTCGCGCCCGCCTGGCCCCGTCGCGCCCTGCCTAGCCCCGTCGCGCCCTGCCTGGACCCGTCGTGCCTGCCTGGCCCCGCCGCACCTCCCTGGCCCTGCCGCGCCTGCCTGGCCCCGCCGCGCCTGCTTGGCCCCGCTGCACCTGCCTGGCCCTGACGCGCCTGCCTGGCCCCGTCGCGCCCTGCCTGGCCCCGTCGCGCCTGCCTGGCCCCGCCGCACCTGCCTGGCCCCGCCGCGCCTGCGTGGCCCCGCAGCGCCTCCCTGGCCCTGCTGCGCCTGCCTGGCCCCTGCCGCGCCTCCCTGGCCCCGCCGCGTCTGCCTGGCCCCGCCGCGCCTCCCTGGCCCCGCCGCGCCTGCCTGGCCCCGCCGCGCCTGCCTGGCCCTGCCGCGCCTGCCTGGCCCCGCCGCGCCTGCCTGGCCCCCCCGCGCCTGCCTGGCCCCGCCGCGCCTGCCTGGCCCCACCGCACCTGCCTGGCCCCTTTGCCCCGGCTCGTCCTGCCGTGCCGCCACGGGCTCCGTCTCCTCTGCTCGCCCGTGCTGAGGCGCTTCGCGGCCGCCGTGCTGGAGGGGGCTGTCGCTGTGTTCCTGCGTCGCTGTGTTCCTGTGGAGCTGTGCCGCTGACCCTGCACGATGGCGGACTTCGTGCTCCGACTGGACGCCGAGGGCCATGCGGTTGACTTCGCCGCCTGGCTCTCCGATCTCCGCCGCCACCTTACAGGTCAGCGCCAGGATGGCCACTCTTTGGTTGTCCATGTCGACGGCTTGCTCCCCCGCCCCCCTGTCCCTGCCCCCCTCCCTGCTGATCCCTCCTCTGATGACCGTGCGACCTTCTCTACTGCTGCGCTTGCCCGTGCGGTCTGGGACTCCCGCGATGCAGTCGCTCAGGTTGCCATTAGCCACGCCCTCCCTGTCTCTGAGCGCTCGCGTTTTGCTACTATTGAGACCGCCAAAGCTTACTTAGACGCTGTTATTGCCCGCTATTCCACACCCGCGTCTGCTTCTGCTGGTCGCCTGCTCTTCCCTATGCTTTTCCCAGACCTTGCAGCTTTCCCTACCGTCGCAGACTTTGCCACTCACCTGCGTGCCCTAGAGACCCGCTATCGCACTGCCAGCACTGCCGCCCAGCTCACTGCGCTCCCCCCCCTTTCTGCATGACGCTCTATTTTATCGCCATGCGCCTGCCAGACCGCCTCGCTAGTGCTCGCGATCACTTTCTTAGCCAGCACCCGGGTGACCTCACTCTCACTGCCTTTGTCGACACCCTCACCGAGATCGAAACTCGCCAGCGCACTATCGCTCAGTCGAGCGGTGCGCCGGCAGTTACTATCTTTCACGGTTGTGCCCCCTCCCAGTGTGCGTTCACTGACGTTTCGGCTGCGGTCGCCTCGGCGGCCCCTCTCACCGAGACGGTTGGTGCGGTCCACCCGCAGCAGCGCTCGCGCCGCGGTGGCCGTGGTCGCCAGGGGGGTAGGGGTGGTGGTGGCAGTAGTGGTGGTGACGGTAGTCCGCCTGCGGGAACTACCACTGGAACCCAGGAGCAGCAGCCCCAGCCGCAGCAGGAGCAGCCCCAGCCGCAGCCGCCGCCCCAGCAGCAGTCACCGTCCCAGCAGCAGTCGCCGCAGCAGTGGGCCCGTCTCCCGCCTGGTTGGCCCGGCACCTTGTTAGGATTAAGGACAGAGTCTAGGTGAACTTAGGAGCTAGAATTACTCAAAATATAAATCCGAAATTCTGGACAGAAAAGTCGTCTTTACAAGAAACGACGTCGACAAAACACTAGCCGTTGGAATGTCGCGAAACTTGGATATGTTGTAGCTCTTGATCTCAGCTACCGTTCCCAATTTGAATCACGTTGATTGATGAAGTATTCGCGACGCTATGGCTTTCGACGCACTAGGGGGTAAGCTGTAGGAGGAGAACTTAACTCAATCTCAAGAGTTCAATCAAAGTTCAAGAATCTCACAAGGAATTTGAAGGAGCAAGAGAAAGGTTGGGATAGGAAGAGAGGGATGAGAGGGAAGGTCCCAAGAGAGTCCCCAACCAAGGAAAACCCCATAAGCACAAAGATTCCCTCCCTATAGGAACCCCAACTTTGACATTTGTCCCTTCCCAACCAATCCATCCAAGTTGGCCACCCTTGCCAACCTAGCTTGGTTGTTCCCAACCAATTTGCAGCTGTTACAGTAGAGTGACAAGTTTCCCCAACCCCAAAGGTCCCAACTCCATATAAAGTCACCCCACAACTTCACTTAGTAACCGCCGCAATTGTAACGCAAGCTCATGAACTTTGAATCTTCATAGCTTTCGCGTTCTTGCTCCGATTGAAGCGATTCTTGTTGCGTCGGAAAGATCTTCTCAAGATCTATTATCACAAATACCTGCTCAGACAGAATAACACAAAACACATTCCCAAACTCCAGAACACACCACACACAAATGCTTGCACATTCAAACCACACATGCAAGTTGAAAAAACATGGGATGGGAGGCAGACAGAATGTGATAGCATATGATGACATCACACAACAATCTCCCCCTCTGGCTGCCAACCATCATCGACCATACCACATCTCAAGCATGCATACTCAATGCACACTCATCCCAGCAAGCTTCATGTACACCTCCTCCATAATGATCCCATTCAGAAAGGCAGTCACAATATCCATCTGCCGAATCTTCCATCCCAGGAGTGCAGCTATCGCCAACAGCACCCTCAGTGTTGTTCCTTTCCCCACAGGAGCAAACACCTCATCATAGTCCTTCCCCTTTGTCTGCTGAAACCCCCGTGCCACAAGCCTAGACTTGTAGCGGGTCAGCTCCCCTTCAGGTCCATACTTGTGCCTGTAGATCATCTTGGAAGTGATTGCCTTCTTTCCAGGAGGCAAGTCACACAGGTCCCATGTCTCGTTCTCAATTAGGGACCCGAACTCCTCATCCTCACTCGCCTTCCACTTCTCCCCATTTGGTCCATTCAAGGCCTCTTCTCGAGTCTTGGGCTCAGGGATTGGTGCCCAGTAGCAGTGAGCGATCTCATCTTCCTCAATCTGCTCAACCACACTCCCAGCCTGCACCACATTCGGCTTGCCTCTTCCCCCATAGGTCAGCCTCACTGGAGGGCGCACATCCCTCCTAGGACGCTCAGGCGGGTGTGGAACTCGAGGTGGAGACTCATGCTGCTGCTGCTGCTGCTCTACTTCAGCTGCTCCCCCTTCTTCAGTCACCCCAGATATCTCCTCCTCAGACACTGCAACCTCCACCTGCCTTGAAGGCTGCTGCAACTCATCTGCCTCCACAATGAGTGGTGTAGATGGAAGCTTCTGTTGCTGCTGCTTCCATTCCTTATAGTACAGGGACTCAAGAAACTTCACATCCCTTGACACTGTCAGCTTCTGGATGGTCAAGTCCCATAGAAGCCATCCCTTGTGATCCTTTGCAATCCCCAAGTGCACACCCCATCTTCCAGAAGCCTCCAACTTCCCTCTTTTCTCCTTAGGCACATGAAACACTACCATGCACCCAAATGCCCTCAGCATATTCACAGCTGGAGCACTCCCATACCACTTGGTATATGGGATCCACTCCTTATCCCCAACTGTAGCCAGCACTCTATTCTTCACAAGGGCGACCTGCCTCAGTGCAGACACCCAAAACGGATCAGGCAGCCCTGCACGCCCAAGGAGAGTGCGTGCCCCCTCCTGCAGGGTCCTGTTGAACCTCTCAGCCACGCCATTCTGCTGCGGGTTGTAGGGCACTGTCAGTTGATGCTGGATCCCCTTCCTCTTCAACTCCCCCTCAAAATCAGCTCCAATGAACTCCCCACCATTGTCACTACGGATCACCTTCACCTTGTGTCCGCATTCCCTCTGAGCTCTCGGCATCCACTCCTTAAGGACAGCCGCTGCCACCTCCCCCTTGCTCTTCAAAGGGTAAACCCACACTGCCCAAGTGTGGTCATCCACAATTGTCAAGAAATAGCGGCTGCCTGAGAGGGAAGGGGCTCTTGTGGGCCCCACCACATCCATGTGCACAAGTGCAAGTGGGGTCTTGGCTGGTCCTGTAGTGCTGTTGAAGGGGAACTTGGAGAACTTGGTCTCCAAGCATGTAGGGCAGCTCCCAATCTCCTTCACTCCCCCTTTCACCTCCAAGCCCTTCAGGCTCCCATCCTTCACCAACTTCTGCAGCATAGGGAAGTTCACATGACACAGCCTCTCATGCCATGTCTCCCAATCGGCCTCTCCACTCCTTGATGAAGCCTTAGCCCATGCCGCACTCGCATCCACACCAGCAAGCACCTCACCATGTGTCTGCTGCTTCTGCACTTTCTTGACTGCTTCCAGCACCCCATCAGTTGGTGCAGTTGCATCTCCTCCTGCTGTTGCCTTTGCCACTGCTGCCGTTGCTGCTGTTGGAGTCTTCCCATTCCAAGGGATGATGGGCAGCTGCCACAGGTCCTTGATGCAGCTGGTCTCCTCTTCCAGACTCCACAGCACCTTCTTCCCAAGCTTAGCACGGCAGCTGGTTGGTCCAAAGGTCACTTCGGCCTTACTCTTCTGCAGCCGCCGCACAGAGAGAAGGTTAGCAGACAAGCCTTTAACCAGCAGAACATTCCCAAGCCCCACAAGCTCCCCATTAGCTCCCTTAACCTTGGCATTCCCAACACCAATCACGGGGAGCAAAGCACCTGACGCTGCTGCCACATACTTAATCTTCCCAGGGGGTTTTACCTCATCAAGCAAATCTGCCCGTGGAGTCATGTGACTGGTGCAACCCGAATCAATCACCCAGTGCGTGAGAGGGTGCATCACAACCTTTCCCACAGATCCCACATCACCCTCATGCCCATGCACATCCTCAACCATGAGATACATCCCAGGATAGGCGTTACCTTGTGCACCTTCACCTTGTGCACCTGAGCCTTGCACAGCGCCACCTTGTGCGCGTTCACCACTTGGCGGCTTCATGCCTGGAGGTGCCCATCCCTCCAGCCTGCTGAAGCACTTGAACCAAGGATGCCCAACCTTCTTGCAGTACCAGCACGTGCCCTCCATTCTGGTACTCCCCCTGCCACTAGAGCTCCCATGCCCCTCATTATAGTCACCTCGGCCTCTACCTCTGCCAAAGCTTCTCCCACGGCCTCGGCCTTTCCAACCCCCTCTTCCTCTGCCGCGCCCTGCAGCTCCATACCCCTCAGCAGTCTTAGTGGCAGCACCGCCTCCCACATGGCGTCTGCGGAAGTCCTCCTGCAGAATCTGCTGCCTTAGCCACTCAGGTGTCCATTGATCTTGCTGAGAGTTGAGGGTGGGGATGAGGTTATCCCACGAGTTGTCCAACACCGAGATGATCTTGGTGCACTGCTGCAGCTGAGATACACTGCTGCCCGCTGCTGCCATCCTTGCATAGGTGTCCTTGATCTTGTCAAGGACCGGCTTCACATCGTCCCCTGGTCGCATGGAGATGGCAGCAAGTTCCTTCTCGAGCACGATCACCATCAGGAGAGTGTTGGGCTGAACCACATCACGTAGTAGTTTCCACGCCCTTGGACCCGAATCATCCGCTTCCACAAGATCCTTGATGTGCTCGAACATCTCCTTGTTGACCGATTGAAGAATGAGGTCGAAAAGCACCGCGCTTTTCTCAATCCACCGTTCACGTGCTTCGCCTTCTTCCGGCATCTTCTCTTCCCCAACAGCAATCTTCAGGAGCTTGTAGCGTTTGAAGGCACTCCTCATCCGTCCGCTCCATTCCTCATAGTTGGAGCCATCCAAAGCTTCAACTTTTGATGGCGGCGGCTCACTTGTCTTCTCAGCTACAGCTCCTCTTCCATTAGCATCTCCTCCTCTCTCATTCATCTTCTCCTTGAGAAATGACGAATTTCAGCTCCCCTTTGCTGTCCACACTCAGCTCCCTCGATATTTTCACAAGTGTCGGCGTCCACGAAATTTCGGCAGAGTTTCCCCTTAGCGGAAGACACATCCAACCTTTAGAACACCACTTAGGCACACCCACAGGCCATGGTGGGTCTAGAAGGGTCTTCACACTTCTGTAGACTCCTCTCAATGTCCTTAATATCGCTCTGATACCACTTGTTAGGATTAAGGACAGAGTCTAGGTGAACTTAGGAGCTAGAATTACTCAAAATATAAATCCGAAATTCTGGACAGAAAAGTCGTCTTTACAAGAAACGACGTCGACAAAACACTAGCCGTTGGAATGTCGCGAAACTTGGATATGTTGTAGCTCTTGATCTCAGCTACCGTTCCCAATTTGAATCACGTTGATTGATGAAGTATTCGCGACGCTATGGCTTTCGACGCACTAGGGGGTAAGCTGTAGGAGGAGAACTTAACTCAATCTCAAGAGTTCAATCAAAGTTCAAGAATCTCACAAGGAATTTGAAGGAGCAAGAGAAAGGTTGGGATAGGAAGAGAGGGATGAGAGGGAAGGTCCCAAGAGAGTCCCCAACCAAGGAAAACCCCATAAGCACAAAGATTCCCTCCCTATAGGAACCCCAACTTTGACATTTGTCCCTTCCCAACCAATCCATCCAAGTTGGCCACCCTTGCCAACCTAGCTTGGTTGTTCCCAACCAATTTGCAGCTGTTACAGTAGAGTGACAAGTTTCCCCAACCCCAAAGGTCCCAACTCCATATAAAGTCACCCCACAACTTCACTTAGTAACCGCCGCAATTGTAACGCAAGCTCATGAACTTTGAATCTTCATAGCTTTCGCGTTCTTGCTCCGATTGAAGCGATTCTTGTTGCGTCGGAAAGATCTTCTCAAGATCTATTATCACAAATACCTGCTCAGACAGAATAACACAAAACACATTCCCAAACTCCAGAACACACCACACACAAATGCTTGCACATTCAAACCACACATGCAAGTTGAAAAAACATGGGATGGGAGGCAGACAGAATGTGATAGCATATGATGACATCACACAACACACCTCTGGAGGTAGTGGCCGTGGTGGCGGCCCGCGCAGCTTGGCGTCTACCAACGGCTCCGGTGCTGTCACCTGCCAGTACCAGCTTCAGACCGGGCCTCTTCGCGGCACTCTGTGCTGCCGCCCGCACCCGACCGCCCGCTGTTTCCGCCGCCTCGACGATCTCTTTCGTCGTCTCTTTGGCCCGGCCCCGGACCTTCCCGACTGGCACAGCCTGCTCCGCCAGGGTGTGCTGATCTTTGAGTTAGACATGGATCAGCTAGGTGCTGCTTTGCATGCTTTGTATTCTGACGCTTCTAGTTTTGCTGGATCTTATTACCCTGTGTACTCTAGTTTAGGTGTTGCACCACTGTGTAGCTTAGCCTCCCCTGCTGCGTCAGGCGTAGGACTGCCTAGGTTGCCTAGTCTAGTCGCTGCACCGGCTCCGTCCCCGGCCTCCGCCACTGCGTCGCTGTCCTTCACTCTCGACTCCGGTGCTTCTGCCTGCTTCTTCCGCGACCGTTCCACGCTCACGCCGCTTGCTGCACCTGCTGTTGTCTCTCTCGCTGACCCCTCTGCGGGTCCTGTCGTCGCGCGCAGTTCTACGTCCCTTCCCTGTCCGGCAGTTCCCTCGGGCTCCCTTACTGGCCTCCACGTTCCCTCGTTCTCCAGGAACCTGGTTGGTGTCGGCTGTCTCCAGGACCTCGGCGTCACCACCACGTTCCCCGGGCACGAGCGGTTCGCTGTCTGTTCTGAGGCTGTCTCAGGTTCCCCCCTTGCGACGTTCCCCCGGGACCCGGTGTCCGGTCTGTTTACCCTAGACACCGCTTCCCCCCCGGTTGGTGCGTCCTCCCAGGTCGCTGCAGCTTGCGCGTGTCGGTCCCTCACTCACCCCTCCCTTCTCTGGCACCACCGCTTAGGTCACCCTGCTCTCCCACGTCTGCGTCACATGTCCCAGCACGGTCTTGTCTTAGGTCTCCCCGCGTCGCTCCCTGCCCTTCCTCCCTCGACTGCGCCACCGTGCACGCCTTGCGTCGAGGGTCGGCTCCGACGTGCTCCTCACTCCTCCTCGCTGCGTCCTGCTACCGCCCCCCTTCAGACCCTGCACCTGGACGTTTGGGGCCCTGCCCCCGTCCCCGGACCGCGCGGTGAGCGCTACTTCCTTGTGCTCGTCGACGACTACACGCGCTACACCACGGTGTTTCCCTTGGAGCGGAAGGCCGACGTGCCCGACGTTCTTCTCCCGTGGGTTGTGGCTGCGCGTCTCCTCCGCGGTCTCCCCGTGTTGTGTCTCCACTCCGACCGTGGCGGCGAGTTCGCCTCTGGTCGGCTTGGACAGTTCTGTCGTGCGGAGGGCATCACCCAGTCGTACACCTTGCCGGACTCGCCACAGCAAAATGGGGTTGCTGAGCGCCGCATCGGCTTGGTCATGGAGGTCGCCCGTACCTCCATGATCCATGCCGATGCCCCCCATTTTCTGTGGCCGTTCGCTGTTCGCTACGCTGCTCACCAGCTTAACCTGTGGCCACGCTCCCAGCGGCCGCAGGTTTCGCCGACCCTCCTTTGGACCGGGTCCCCCGGTGACGCGTCTGCGTTCCACGTCTGGGGCTGCCTTGCTCACGTTCGTGCCTCTGGCACGGACAAGCTCACTGCCCGCACTGTCCCCTGTGTCTTCCTCGGTTTTCCCCTGGACTCGTCTGACTGGCTTTTCTACCACCCGCCGTCTCACCGCTTCCTCCACTCTCGTGACGTCACCTTTGACGAGTCCGTCTCCTTCTACCGCCGCTTCCCTCACCGAGGTCTCCCAGTTGCCCCCCCCCTGTTCCTTGCTCCCTCTCCCCAGGTAGCCCCTGCCCCTCTCCCGCCTCGTCCTGCCCCGTCTGGTGTCTCTCACGTCACTCCCCTCCCATCGGTTGTCCCCGATGAGGAGTCTGCTGACTCTGGTGGTACCCCCGGTCCGTCCTTGCCGCGTCCCCCTTCCCCGGTGCCTCCGCCCCCACTGTCGCAGTCGCCGACCCCGCTGCCGCCGCCGTCGCCGTCGCTGCCGCAGCCGTCGCCGCTGTCGTCGCCACCGCAGCCGTCGTCGCCGCCGCCGCCGTCGCTGCCGCAGCCATCGCCGCTGTCGCCGCCGCCGCAGCCGTCGCCGCCACTGCCGCCGCCGCTCTTGGCCCCTGGGGGTGCTGGTGTGGAGGAGGGTGTTCGTCCTGCGGCTTCTGGGGGTGCCGCTGGTGTTGGAGGGGGTTCTCGCTCTGGGGGTGTTGGTTCTGGGGGTGCTGCTGTTGAGTGTTCTGCCGACGGTCGTTCCGCCTCTGCTGGTCCGAGAGTTCCGGCCCAGCCGTCGTCGCCGCCACAGCAGCCGTCGCCGCCAGTCTCCGCTCTCCGCCTGCTCGGCCTTCCCTCCCCGGACTGCGCGCCGGTGTCTCCCCCACCGCCTGCTGAGCTTCCTGTCTACGGTCCTGTGTTCCCGCCGCCGGACTCGTCTCCGGCCCGTCTTCCTTCTCGTTCCCCTCCTGTGTCTCCTCCGCTGTCCCCTGACCCTACACCTCCGTCTCACGTTTGGGCTCGCCGTCCCTCCCGTGCTCGTCCCGTCTCTCCTGTCCTGCCCACCCACCCTATGTTGCTCCGTTCCCGCTCGTCTCGTCCTCCCCTCCTCCCGTCACCTCCTCCCTCGTCCCTTGCTGTTGCACCTCCTCCATTCTCTGACTACCTCCGTGCTGCTCGTCCCCTTGTCCCTCGGGTCCTTGCCTCTCTTGTTACCGACCCTGCTGTTCCTGTCTCGCGCCTTGACGCGCTTGTCGCTGCTGTCGCTGACTTCGCCTCTACCCGCCGCCTTGACTACGCTACCGCTCTGGTCTCTGACCCTGCCCGTCCTCCGTCTGTCGGGGGTGCTCCTGCCCTTGGCAGTGACGTCCTAGAGGACAGGCAGTACGAGCTGGCTTTCCTTTCCGAGGCTGCTCCCCATCTCTGCTCCATGCTGTTAGTCCCTGAGGGTGACCCAGACGCCTTCGACATCCCGACCCCTCGCACCTACGCTGAGGCCACCTCGGGACCTTGGGCCTCTCAGTGTATAGCTGCCATAGAGCAGGAGATGGCATCTTGGAGGTCCACCGGCACTTACGTCGACGCAGTTCCCCCGCCTGGGGTGAACGTAGTCGATGGTCGGTGGCTCTTCAAGGTGAAGCGCCCCCCTGGAGAGCCGCCTGTCTTCAAGGCGCGCTACGTGGCCAGAGGTTTCAGTCAGCGCGAGGGGGTTGACTTCTTCCAGACCTTCGCCCCGACCTCGAAGATGACCACTCTTCGGGCGCTGCTATATTCAACTATATTCTACAATTGCTTTACTTTCGTATTTTCTATATATTGTTGTATGCTTGTTTCTTTTAATCAATCACTTGCTCTCACATACTAGTGCAAGGGTTCAACTACTCAATGCTTCCGCTGCACTACTCAAAACCTTGTACATGTGGGACTTAGTCTCTGGAAAGATCCTAAGGGCTTTTATCAGCCCAACATAGCGAACATTGAGTTACGAGGATTCAAGGGACCCACTTGTTCAGGCAGTCAAAATGGGTCTCGAATTTTTCTGTGTCACACCTCTTGAACCGCGCTGTATACGGTAAGTTTCCCACTAGCTCTCACGCTCAGGTGATGGCACAGCAGCAGTGGTAAAAAAAGAGGGTATCTCTCGTCTATGCTACTCAAACTCAAAAGTGATGTTGAAAGTTTCGGGGGGGTGTTCAAATATTTGCAGGCAAAAAAAACGGGTGGCCGTCTTGGCCGTAAACGTGTCGTCCTTGGCCGTCGATACGATTCCGATGGCTCAAAATCTTCGAAGGTTCGATGGTCGTCTCTGTTGGTGGCCATACATCTGGAACCAATCGCTGTCGGGCGATGTCCGATGTGTCGGGTACGAAAGGTCGCAACATGCTCACATGGAACTTGTTGTGAATACGCCAATCGGCAGGTAGGCGCAACTGGGCGGTCACCGCTGTCACCATCTTCATGATCTTGAATGGACCACAGAATCGTGGTCGTAGTTTCGTCGGTAGTGGTCGTCATAAATTCTTGGTGTCCAAAAGGACTAGTTGCCCTGCTGCCATTGTTATATCCCGTCGATGTAAATCCGCATACAGTCGGGCAGTAGCGTTCGCCTTGCGAATAAGTTCGACAGCTTTGTCTCGGGCAGTCTGTAATTCTTCGACGAACTGCTGCGACCGTGGTACTTGACACTCGACATTGGTGGAGATAGGTACTGTGGGGTCCATCCCGTAATTGAGGTAAAACGGGGAGTGATTAGTCGTGGCTGAGGGCGCGTTGTTGTAGGAGAATTCTAACATGGGAAGCGCGTCCTCCCATTTGTTTCGGTCGGGGCAGTTTGTCCGAATCAGCTGCTCCATCGTTTGGTTTGTCCTCCCTGTCTGACCGTCCGTTTGGGGATGATCAGCGGATGAGAACTGCAGGCGCGTGCCATACCGAGCCCACGTGTCTTGCCAAAATTTCGACGTGAACTTCGGGTCTCGATCGCTAATGATGGCTGCTGGTATCCCGT